AAGGGGCGGAAAATTTTGGCCGAGTTAGGCCAAAACCGACTTATCGCGTGACCGACTTATCGAGTTTATATATGTAAAGCGAAAATCGGTTTATGGTAGTTCGGTTTATCGAGATTTGACTGTAGATGATACAATAATACTAGTAATGAAACCAAAGTTGCTGATATGAAGTAATTGAAACTCAAAATAATCGGATTATGACTTGGTACTCTGCTATTCTGTTGTTCCATTATTCTAATGATTTTCTTCTATTAAAAAGAAAGAATCGTTCGCTTGTTACATGATAAAAATATCCAATTATATTTTAAGTTATGTACGAACTACGACCACGCAAAAGTCACTGGGTGGCGCATTTAGAGAGGGTGATGGTTTATATGAGAAAAGACTGTGCATAGAGGGTGTACATTTATCTCTCGAGCTTGAGACCGGGACACAGGGTGCACTTTTAGAGGATTGACTGTAAATTTTTTATATGAATGTATTTTTTTAGCTATTAATCTATTTATAAATAAAGTGGGCGACATCAAAGTGATACAAGAGGGACGGCAAAATTTGAGTTTTAAAATTTATCACGTGTACAAATTTTAGCCAATAAAATTTAAGAATATTATCATAATAAATCACATTAACATACGAAGAAAGTATTCAAACGCAGTTTTTTCGAAAATTCCACAAAACCTTTATAATAACTATATGAAATTTATATTATTTGATAGCTCAGGTTCTTATAATTATGCATATAAATTTAATGTTTTTGTATTATCTAGATAGAGCTTTAATTCAAAGATTTGCTGATTGCGATTTGAATCAACGACGGGCTTCATTAGCTTTTTGTAAGTTTGAAAGAAGTGATTTTATTTTTTTTTTTGTGCGATTTGACATTTCAAACAGCGGCAATTTTGAAAATTATATATAAAATATTACAAAATAGTGAAATTTTAAACTCTTATAATTTTTGCTATTAAATTTAAAATAAAAAATCTGGTTGCAACGAATTATTCCCTGACTTCTAAATAATCGCTTGGTGCAATTATTTTTTTAAAATTGATCACTCTGAGGAGTAGATACCATTTTTGGTAAGCTAATAATAATTGATGGCTTTTGTTATCACCCACTATAGCTCTTGTAGGAATTATTATTTTTCGGTTAATAAATAAAATCTCGGTTAGTATAGTGGTTAGTATCCCCGCCTGTCATTTCTCAGACCGCGGGAGACCGGGGTTCAATTCCCCGACCGAGAGCAAACATATTATTATTATTGTTGTGTCAATCAAATTTGAAATGTTCTTTGAATTATTTTATTGTTTGTTACTTTGTCGTCATTTTCGTCTACCAACCTCTTTATATACTTATTTCTCGGTTGAAAACTTTTGCTAATTTTCTATGGGCATTTTTTCTCCAAGTTTTAAAAATTTAAATATTTATATTTTGCAGTAGTCTAAACGTTACACTCAACATATTTCGTGTTACATATTTGTTTTTTTAGAAAAAAATTTTTTGATAAAAAAACCACGATGGAAAACACTGATGAATATTCAAAGGAAAGAAAGGAACATTTTGGGGAATGTCCAACTTGCAATAAATATAATACTAATTATTTATGGTGTCAATCATGCGATCCAAAATTATTAACTGAAGGATGGACTAGTGGCAATGAAACATTAGATGAGTTGATCAAAAGTACACAACTTAAAGCAACTCAATATTATAATTATTATTATCTTCAATGGATTCCTTATAATGATTTAACAAATATTGAAAAGATAGGTGAAGGTGGGTTTGCAACGATATACAAAGTTACTTGGTTAAATGGTGAGAAAAGTATAAATTATGAAAACAGAAACTTTAACAGAACTAGCAAAGATAGGACCGTAGCATTAAAAAAACTACATAATTCACAGAATCTTTCTGATGAATTTCTTGATGAGGTAAGTTGTTTTGTTTCTTTGTTTATTATTTGATTTTAAATATTATTCTGAAATTCAATATATTTTTTTTATATAGTTTAGAAATATTATGTTACATTTTATGGTAAATCATTTATAAATAAAATTTATGGATTAACACAAGATCCGACTACAAATGAATATATATTTGTAATGGAATACATGAAAGATAAAAGTCTTCAAGATTATGAAGATCCATATATTAGAAAAAAAGAATATGGGGAATGTCCAAACTGCAATAGATATAATACTCAGTATTCATGGTGTCAATCATGTAATCCAAAGTTGTTAACTGAAGGATGGACCAGTGGCAATGAAACATTAGATGAATTGATCAAAAGTACACAACTTAAAGCAATAGGGTATAACAATAAATATTACCTTCAATGGATTCCTTATAATGATTTAACAAATATTGAAAAAATAGGTGAAGGCGGGTTTGCAAATATATCCAAAGCTACTTGGTTAAATGGTAATAAATATATAAATAATGAAGATTATAAAAGAACTTGTAAAGACTTGACTGTGGCATTAAAAAAATTATATGATTCACAGAATATTTCTGATGAATTTCTTAATGAGGTAAATTATTTTTATTTTTCTATTTATTTTCAGATTTTTTAGATATTATCAATTATTATTGTTGTAATTAAATATTTTATTTATTATTATTTAGTTCAAAAATTATATGAAGTTTTATGATAAATGTGATATAATTCATATTTATGGTTTAACACAAAATCCAATTACAAAAGAATATATATTTGTGATGGAATATATGGAAGATGGAAGTCTCCAAAATTACTTAACTGAAGATTTTAAAAATTTAAAATGGAAAAACAAGATTGATATTCTTAAACAAATTATTGAAGGTTTAAAAGATATTCATGGAAAAGAAATTATTCATCATGATCTTCATAGTGGTAATATCCTTCAAAAAGATAAAAGGTATTCATATATTGCAGACTTGGGATTATCATGCTCAGCTGGTCAAACATCTTCATCAAACAAAAATGATGTATGTGGAGTGCTACCATATGTTGCACCAGAAGTTTTAAGAAAGAAACCATATACAATGGCATCAGATATATACAGTTTTGGAGTTCTGATGTCTGTAGTATCAACTGGCCAACAACC